ATTTTGAAGGAACCAAAGACATCTCCGTGGTCATGTGGCTGGCATGACTAAACGCCAAAGGTGCACGGAACGCTGTTACTTTCCCACCAAAGGTGGTTTCTATTTTTCTACTTGCATTTTTACTTGCTTTTGAACTGCTAGGTTGGCAGAAGCTGGGACAAGTAATGGGAGCTCACTCCATTATGTTCGAACTAGGAATTCGAACTGCCAACCTGCCAACCTTTCTCACTGACAAGCTGAGCATCTTGGGCACTGAGCCACCGTGTCCCTAACTACGTTCTAAGAGTCTCTTATTTTAACTTGCCAGGGATGGAATACTGGTAATGCTCAATTTATGACTACCTTTGAGCCCCAAAGTTCTGTTGCTAAATGAGACCGTTGTTAACTGTGTTTTGCCCCATTTTAAGACCTTTCTGGCCACACCTGTTAAGTGAAACACTGCAATTGTTAAATTAATAAAACAGCTGTTAATTGAATCTGGCTTCCTCATTGACTTTGCTTGTCAGAAGTGATCACTGCAAAAAGTGATCATGTGATCCTGGGAGGTTGCAACCATTATAAATGTGGACCAGTTGCCAGGCATCTGAATTCCCATCACGTGACTGTGGGGATACAGCAAATGGTCGTAAGTATGAAAAACGGTCCTAAGTCACTTTTGTCTGCACCATTGTCGTTGGAGTTGAATGCTCCAACACTGTAAGTTGTTAAGATGTTGGATAACCATTTGTCTGAAATGGTATAGGGTTTCCTGTCTAGGCAGGGGGCTGGACTAGAAGACCTCCAAGGTTCCTTCCAACTTCGGTATTCTATTGTAAGTTCGAACAGACACTAAACAAAAAGTTGAAAGTCAAGGACTCCCTATACTGCAAATAACTTTCAGGGCTACACTGATTTTGGAGAGAAGAGAGTGCTGTTTCTTTTACACAGGCTCCTTCTGAAACATAGAGAAGGAACATGGTTCAGATGCCCGTCTTTGCAGGATGCAAAAAAGGAGAGAAGCCACTGAAAACTCCTGGGAGAAAAGCTCGCTTGAGCGAGCGACATTTTGGCTGTGCCAGATGCAGCCTGGAATGTGGGCAGCAGCTGCTGCTGTTCAGAATAAGCCTGCTCTGGGAGGCAGAGCCTTCTCCAGCCCAACTTTTTACGACAGATGTGGCAGCTCATCCAGGATTTGTGCTGAAGGAAGCACCAGGTGCATGCAAGACACAAAAGGGGTACAGTCTCTTGGCCAGAGGGCTTAATTTTATCAGAGTCAGATGAATGCTGGATGGGCACAGGCTGTGGGAACAGGAAAGGTGGCCCTAGGAGCTTCAAGGAAGGATCCTGGGGAAAAATGGGAGCTGCCTGAGGAGCTGAGAAGAGCTTTGTTGGCAGGTGAGCTTGTGAAAACACAGGGAGCAGGAAGAGGCAGGAAGAAGAGGAGGAGCCCTAATCCAGGGATTAGAAAGGAATAAACTTTTAAAACTGAGGACCAGATTCTTGATGTGGACACTGTATGAATGCTAGATAAGGAAATCTCGTTGTAATTCCAAGGGGGAAGGGTGGAAAATAAGATTAGGGCAACTTTGAAAATCAGGTAGAAATGACAAATACAGCAGATAACTCCCTTGACCCTGGTATCTTTCATGAAAAGATTGACAATTGCAATCTCAGCACTACCAGCAAGTTTAAGAAGCATGAGGGAGGCAGCAACCAACTCGAGGGCAAAGGTTGCTACAGCGAACACCAGCATGGCCCAAAGAGCCAAAATCAAGATTGGATAAAGACCCCTGCAACACCACACCGCCATTTCTAAACACACACAAAAACCACAATTTCTACACAGTAAGGCAAAAACCGCCTGCTTTAGGCCCCAAAACGTTTTAGCAACCAGGATCATCCAAAATAATTGGCAAAGCCTGGAAATATTTGCCTCCCCCCCCCCTTTGAACCATGGAAGACCATCAAAAAGGAAACTCAAAGGATGCCTTTTACAACTTCACAAAGAGATGCCCTGGGCAAAATAAGTTCTGATTTTTTTTAAAAAAAGAAAATAAAAGCAACACATTATTCACTATGGTGAAATATTACCATCACCAACCCTCTTTTTTTTTTAACTTGGAAATCCCGAGCGGATGACGGCGGCTGTTCCTGCCCCATCAGTCTTGGGTTCAAGAACCAGATTCAAATTCTAGAGATCATCAGACTCCACTTAGCTGCTTCCTGCTCTCCCCACCACAAAAGCCACAGCACTCCAGAGTGGGTGGGGGGTAAGTCCCGGTCTCCCCCCAACTTCACTTCAACTGTCAGGTTTCCCTCTCCCGCAAGCCATTTCCTCTTGCAAAAAAATGTTTTTAAAATTGATTGTACCTTCTGGGCCGGCGAGGGCATTACAGTACCAGCGCAAAGCTCAAGTACATGAAGAGGGACAGGAATGCACAAGTCCCCCCTCCTTTTTTTCCACAGATGGGGAGCGGGAAGGAAGTAGCACAGAAAAAAATTATAATAATTTGAGCAGAAAATATCTCCCTCCCCCTCCACCCCTCATCCCCTCTTCCTAGCGCCCATTTCCCCAAAATAAACCTTATTTTAATTTTGTTTCCAAAGCGGAGGCAGAGACTTATTTCCATCCCCGGGCACCCAGATAACAGAGTCGACGGCTGCAATAAAGCACAGAGAATCGCCCCTTCTTTTTGCTCTCCCGACCCCATCGAATCTGCCCCCCCCCAGACCCCTCACCCCCCGCCAACGACTGGAAATGGTGGATTTGCATGGCACAAATTTCGCGCACACCCCCGGGAAGGCTCCTTTGCAATGCACCCAGGAGCTGGAGAAGACTGGCCGTCCATTCTCCCTGCATAAAAAGGGAGGGCTCCCCTATTGTGGAACAATCAACTCCCCTTCCCTGCACCCCTAAACTTACCTTTTTGCCCACGAAGCGCTCCCGTTCCTCCTCAACCTTCCCCCCCTCCTCGCTCCAGCCAGCTCTTGGCGCTGGGAACGCAGCTGCAACCCAGGGAAAGAGGGAAAACCGGGAAGGGCCGAGAGTTGACGACCAAACCCGAGAATAACCGAAGTCTCATCCTTCGGAGAGAGGGAGGGAGGAAAGAGAAGAAAAAAAAACACCACACGATCCGAACACGATTGGCGGAAAGAAACGAGTCTCTGCCCGAGCGCGGCCGAAGAGTCGAAAAGCGACAAATTCGTCCTTTTGTCTGCAAAAGTTGGATTGTTGTGCGCTTCCTTTCCCCGCAGTAAATAAATAAATAACCCTCTAGGCGATACCAAGCTTTCTTACTGTCTACTGATAGGAGAGGCCAAAACTTAAGTTGATTCTGTTTAATAATTTGGCAAGCATCTCCTATCTTAGCAATAACCGTAGCCGGGCAAGGCTTTTTTTTAAAAGAATATGCAATCGTGGGAATAAGGTTTTTCTTAGCCCGGATTTCGCTAGCACAGCGCTGGGGTTTGAAGCAGCGGGCGCTTTTAGAGGTCTTAGTTGCCGTTGAGCGATGCTGGTCTTTCTTCCTGGGTGAATAGAATAGAATAGAATAGAATTCTTTATTGGTCAAGTTTGATTGGATACCCAAGGAATTTGTCTTATGCTCTCAGTGTACATAAAAAGACAATCAAGGGGTGAATGGTTTTCCCTGTAAGGAAGGGGCCGCGGGTGGAAGATGCGTGGAAACGGGGGGGAGGGGGTCTTAAAAAGCCAACCGAGCAATATATCCCGAGTGTAAATCCTGCTTCTTTTGTAAACTAAGCAAAGCCAACATTTGCTTGGTATAGAAAGAAAGCAACCCGTGGAAGGATTTTGCCACTTCCAACAAGCAGGGGAAAACCCCATTATGTACCTGAAAATAAAGGTCGCCCTGATTTGTCGTTATTTATTATTATTACCTCTCCGCGGTGAAAGCTAAAACGAGAGTCCATAAGCTAACAGGACCGAGGCATAAATTCCGGAGACAGCCGAAAACATCCGAATCGGAGTTGCTCGCGTTCACCGAAAGGGACACGAATATAACCGACGGGACGCGGAAATGGACGAAACCTCGAGCTATGTAGACGCGGAACAGCTCTGCTATGACGTCATTGAAATGCTCTGATGGAGGCGGGGGGGGGGAGACAGCATAATTTGTGGAAGCGATTTTTAAATCTTTGCGAAGCTATTTTGCTTATCTGTCACCTGCTAAGTGGCAGCAACCGTTCGCTTAATAGAGAGGTATAATAAAGGCTGGGCTATGCAGATGGGGGCTGCGAAAATCTGAGCGGTCGCTAGATGGCAGCAAAGAAAGGCCTCTGAGAGCCTTCCCCAAATATATTCTCAGTCAATCCAGGTCGTGGTTGTCCAAAAGGTGCTTTTTCAGGAGGCAACTGGACTTTCTGGTGTTTTTTTTTCTTTTGAAGTCGTTTTGCTTCTCATCCAAGAAGCTTCTTCGGCTCTGATAGGACATTGGGGAATGGAAGGATTTATATTCCTTGCAGACAGATGGTCATTTGCACCCTTTTAGAGCAGGGGTATCCAACTCGGTTTCATTGAGAGCTGCATCAGGGTTGTATTTGACCTCGGGGTGGGGGTGATCAACATCACTTGTGTTAGGGGTGCTTGTGGTGGCCCAAGCGCTCTGCCAGCAAAATCGGACTCCCAAGCTCTGTTTTCAGCTGCAAAGGCCTCCTGCAACCCTCTGCCAGCAAAATCGGACTCCCAAGCTCTGTTTTCAGCTGCAAAGGCC